ATATATATGTATTATATTATCATATTGAAATAATATCGTGATTACATATTATCGAATTTCGAATTTACAATCGTGCTCCCGTTTCAACATTCATACGTGAGCGTGTATTAATTATAATATATGTTTAAAATGGAATTTGTTAGAAGTTTTAGACATAATGTTAGATATAATCTAATGAATGTAATTTTTCTTTATTAAATTTTTAGCTCCTTCGATACATTTTCGACTTAAATATATATATTCCTTCTTTAAAACAAAAGACTGTTGCATCCTGGAAATATCATTTTCGACGTAATCTCGCTACGAAATGCAAAAAAAACGAGATCTTATCACGATGCCTTGAATAATAGATGATACGCGGATAACATTGTTGCGTGCTTCAAACAATTTTCATATTCTTCAATTACGCGATATTTATGCTCGTAGGAGGTCACAGTTATAGTTTACAATATTTTATTTATAATTTACAATATTATTGTTAGTTTTAGTTGTGTTATTTAGTTGAACACTGAGAAGCAAGTTAACTGTTTGATAAGGAACTTTTTAGAAATTTTTTGTATATAAATGCGAGGATCAGTCTTTCGCGTAAATTAATTAGAATTATTTTAATGTTGCAGTACTTTTTTAATAAAATTGTTTCACTTCTCTTTCATAAAAATTAGAAATGAATAGGATTTTTCCATTTCAAAAAATAAACATTACCGAATCACACTTTTTCATAGAAATTTCAATTTTTTTTAGTCAACGCTTTTTAACTATAAATTTTTCGTTTCTCTGTGCCAGAAAGTAATAAAAACTGAGCGCGAATATGATTTTTACATCTCAAAAATTCAACTATCGAATCTCTCTTTTGACTCGAAGCTTGCAAAATTTTCACCAGTCCTACAGGCTATGAAATTGGAAATTAGTACTTGAAATTTCAATCCCTCAAAACTCCCTCCTTCTCGAGTCAGTTCACAATTCACAATTTTCGATTAAAACATATGGGTGTCAATTATACTTACCAACGATAATAACAAATTTCAGGGTATCTGTCCACTTCGAGAGCAAACGATTTCACGCAACAACAGGTTCCTCCTCTTCTCGAAAGACTCGCCGGCACCGTCTGTATAATTTACGAGCAGACTGAAACGCCAAACGCGACAAAATGCATCAGGATTGTTCATCCAACGCGAATGGCACCTGTAATCAAACTGACGTTCAAAATCAGTGCAAACCGTGGAAATAATGGATAACACCTGACCGGTCGCGATGCCGGGAGGGAGGGGAGGTGACGCCGTTGGAAGAATTG